GAAAAAGGACTTCTTATTGTCCTTGATGCTCAAAGCTAGCTGGAGTTCAGTTGCAGCCTTGGCTTTCCTGGTCTGCTCCCTACAGGACCGGACCAGTGCAGAATAATCCTCCTTGGAGGTGACTCCCATCCTCCACCCTTTGTAGGCCTTTCTTTTTAGCCTCAGGAGATCTGCTAGGTCCCTGGAGAGCCAGGGGGGCTGCTGTGCCCTCTTGCTGCCTTTCCTCCGAGATGGAATAGACTTAGTTTGTGCATTGAGGATCGCTCCCTTGAGGAGCAACCACTCCTCTTGAACTCCCCTCTCCCTGTGGTCACGGTCCCTTAGGGCCTCACTGACAAGCCTCCTGAGCTTGTCAAAGTCGGCTTTCCTGAAGTCAAGGACTTGCGCGTTGCTGACCGACTTGCCAGCTTTTCGGCGGATGGTGAAGGTGATCAGCTCGTGGTCGCTGTCACCCAGCTTCCCATCGATCACTAGGTCGCCGACTAGGTCATCCCCAGTAGCCAGTACCAGGTCGAGCAGCGCTTTGCCTCTCGTTGGCCCGTAGACTTCTTGAGTCAGGTAGAGGTCATCCACGCACGAGAGGAAGCTCTGCGACCGCTCAGATTTTGCTGAGCGATCCTCCCACGAGATGTCTGGGTAATTGAAGTCACCCATGACAACCATGGTCCTGGAGCAAGCTGCCTCAGCCAGTTCCTGGGCAAACTCCTGGTCAAGCTCAGGACTTTGGGTGGGAGGTCTGTAATAGACTCCCACCATTGTGTCCCCTGTGCAAAATTTAATTTTTGCACTTAAATGCAAAACTTAAATTTTGCATTTAAGTTTTGAAAACTGGTAAAGGGGAAATCCAAACCTAGACTACAAAAGGAAAACATGCTTTAAAACCATCTGAGACATATTTCAACAGCTTATCTTGGTATCAAACTGTCAGGAGATAGCATCTGCAAGCAAAAAGCAACATATAGTCCTATAGTAATTTAGTTGTAGCTATGTATAAGTCGCACTATATTCATCTGCCAATCTTAGACCACTTAATCCGTGCTTAGTAATGAGAAGCATTTTTGATCGTTCGGAAAACAGAAACTGGCGCTCTTTTATTAACATGCTCTTCAGAATGCATTTAGCAGAAGACATGCAAAAAGGAGAGTTTCCAAAGAAACCACACACTTAAGTTCTGCTCTGAACAGTAGACTCACTGTGATCAGAACTGAAACTAATTTTGGAGAGGCTGTGCTTTGCAGTTGATCCTTCTGGACTGCTTATCACACTGAAATTAGACTTTTTTAAAAAAAGACTGTTTTGAGGTCATGCCGGAAATGCACCAAGCCCTTATTTAATACACAAATGAAAGTAAATGCAGAATCTTCTCAGTTTTGGATACCTGCGTTACAATTTTTCTTTTATGTCCCTGCAAGTTAAATGTGACTAGCTGAGATGCTTTTGTCTTTTATCCTGAGAACGAGTTTAGACTAATGGTATTCAACCTATCAGCAATGTGGGCTGGATGAGTGATGTGGGGCCAGTCTGTGGGATGGATCTCTAGAGGCACTGAGCCCCATGCCTACCTGGCCATGCCCTGCAGTGTCCTGGATGGGGCCCTGCACTGCCCTGGCCCAGCCGTGTGTGCCCCATGCCACCCTGGCCCAGGCCCCACGCACCTAGAGAGGTCCTACCCTTCCTTGCCCCACCCTACATGCCTATTCCAGGATGCAGGGACAAGTTCTCTGCCCCAGCAGGCTTTCCACGGATGGAGAAATATGGCAGCAGGGGAACAGCAATTTTTGGAAGTCTGGCAGGCCAGATCTGAGGTTTGAGCTCCTCTGGTTTAGACTCTTATTCTGTGTTCTGCTGGTTACAGAAAAATTGTGAAAAATTGATTTTCCCTTTCCTGCCTAAATCAAATTATTCCTCCCTACCCAAAAAACAAACCAGCAGGCAAACATCTCTCACTGAAATGAAACACCATTCACGATGCATAATTTTTGAAGATTTTTTTTACTCATTTAATTTTTTAATAATTGGGTATGTTTGGTCTTAAAGCTTCATCCTGAAAGTAAAACTTTTTTTTCCAGATGAAACTGTTCACTGACTTGAACACAATTAAATATACGAATAGTTGTGTTCAACTATGCACTTCATAGTGAATAAAATATTTGACTGATCTTGTTCACCTGGCTCTGCTTACCGTTGGCACAATCTGTCTATGAACCACTTTCATGAAGACACGTGCCACTCCCCCATGATAGCTGCCTGCAAGGCCTTAGCACTAGATATGTTCAAGGTTGTTGTCCCGTCTTTATTAGTTCTCCTGTTTTTCCCTTTTTCACAATTTTACTTTTGGCAGACTGACTGATTTTTTTGTCTCTATATATTTGATGTGGTTTTATTTAATACATTTTGTGCTGCATCTTAGCGTTCTTTCTTTGCCAGGAATAGCATCCTCATGACTATGTTGAAGTCATGCTGAAATCCCTAGAAACTGCACGCTGAAGTCTGTATTGTGGTCAAACTGGACCTCAGATGAACAAAATTACATGTTCAAAATCAGGAATGGAAGATTCCTTCAACAGTTCATTTATATTTATTCCACCAGCTGCTTCTTTATTATACTCATGTTTTCATCTGTACAGGGTTGTTTCCAAATTAAACTTTTTCACCTTTGGAACAGGACAAATATTGGACTTGCAATAACATTAACCCAGTTATCTACTTAGTTGGACTTCAGTTTAGCCTTTTGAGGGAGTATAGATTGCATAAAAGTGTCGGGATACTCAAAGTGATAAACGTGGTTCAAATGCTTTGATATCAGCATCCTCCCTCCCTAATGCAGTACATCAAACATCACTTGCACAGAACGCTTGTATCTTAGTTTTAAGCCTCAGACACTCATACAGGTTGGATACTTACTGGAAGCAGAAATTATAATTAAATCTTATCCCTATGATTTATTTTTTCCCATAAATTTTGCTATACTGTATGCAGGTAAAGCAGTCACAGCTTTGGGGGAAAAAAAAATTGTGCTGAATTTTGACCAGAGTTGCATCTGTATTTAAAGAGGCACAACATGAATAATTCATTGGGGCTGTCAGCACAGCTCATCCACTGAACGAAGATCGGTGCCTGGTAGCCTTGGGAGTCTATAAATACCTACAGAGCGCAGCCCAAAATTTTGTCCCACATGTCTACTCTATTCTTTCTGTTCTATTTAGGTTCCTATTCTGCCCACATCACAGCAATTTATCTGTGCATTTAGGCTAGCCTATCTTGAGCACTGCCAGAGGCTAAGCATCCTAGAAGGCAATGAAGGAGAAGAGCACACTCAGCCCTTTGCAAGGAAAAGCAGAGGCTGCACATATTCTGCTGCACACATTTTGTCAAAAGAGGCATGTTAACTATCGGTAGTGGTAACTGAGGGCAGGGTGACTGTGGTGGCACTGTACTGGGGGGGGCAATTGGCAACCCAGCAGGCAGCACTTGCTATGTGCTGCTGCTCGGGGTGTGTAGCTGCCCTGCTTTGTCTCTCTTGGCCACATACCTCTGTCTCTTGAGACATTCACCATGCAGTGAAATGGGCCAGGGTCCTGCAGCTGAAAGGGTCAAGGGATCGTAAGCCAAAGAACATCTTCTAATACATACACAAAGAAACTGAACTGCATATGCATGGACAACCTTCATTTTGGCATCTCCTAACTTTTTGGTGCTTAATTTTGCAACCTTACGCTCTTTTCCTGAGGATTTTTTTGTTTCACTCTATAGTTTAGATAAACCACGTGCTTAGATAAGTCTGTTAAAAAGGCAGGTTACCAAAATACAATAAAAAAAAAAAAAACTTGGCTGTAGCTTTACTGGTATAGTTTATTTTCAGAGAAAAAAAAAGATTTATGCAGAGTTCTTAGTCTTGCAGCCCTTTCGTAGTTTCGCCACATGCATAACTTAAGCATTCCTAAACCATTCCACAACTAAATTCTTATCTTTAATGGTCCTGCTACTGTGATCCCATTTTTTCCATATGAAGAAATTTAATTAATATTTTACAGTCTCCCTAAATCACAAATACAATTTGCCATAACATTGCAGAAAATAGCAAATCCACATTGTCCCTTGCCAACAGAAAATCCTTAACAGCTGTTTATTGCTCATTTGCAAAACATAAGAGCACTGGAATTCCATTACTTAGAGAAACTGGCTGTTCCATGATATCCTTGGCAACAAAAGCTGCACTTATCTTTTGAAACAATAGACTCTCAAAGTTTCTCCATTTTACAAACATTAAAAAGACAGTAAGAACACATTTTTAACTGTAAAATGGTCAACAATGGGATCTGACTCACAATAAGCTGCTTTCTGCTTTGTGAAATCTAACCTCTGCTTCCCAAGAAACATCACTCACTGCAACTTAAGAAAAACATTTCAAGCAACCACCTCTTTCACAGGAAGAACTTTTTAGCGAGGTCAAGACTTGAGGAAAATGAAAAGAAATTCAGGCTATATTTGAATAATACAAATAGTCCTAACTAACATTAGAGGGCTTACTTGGGCAGGCTCATAGCAATCTGTACGAAAATGATAGAACAAAAACGTCTGTCCTCTCTCTATCTGCTCGAAACATTTTTGTCGTCCCTCAACTTAGAAACCAAGATAAATAAAGTCACGATCTACACACCAGATATTTCACATATGGTTTTAACTAAATCACTTACAAGTCTTCGAAAGCTTTAAAAAGAAATAACTCCAGCATACCAAATAGATGCTAGTTCCTCAGAAAGCTAAGACATGCACATACCATCCATAATCTGGTTTCTATATTTAGATAAGAACTCTACCTAAAGCCAGGAAGGTCAGCATTGAATCAAGTCAAGCATATTTTACCAGACACATCTTCTAGACGACATTTACCCTGCTACATCGCTCCCAACCCCATGGCAAACACTATGCCTTGCACAAACAGCTTGAGCTGTAACTTTGCGTAGTAAAAGGGATCAGATAGTGGTGTGTTCACATACCTCAATAATCCTGTCGTGAATTTGCAGCCCTCCTTCTTTAGCAGCGGGCCCACTGTCGACTATTTTTGATACAAAAATTCCTTCGCTGGAGGAGCCGTCTTGATTGTCCTTGAAGGATGAAAAAGAAAAGTTAACGTTGCACCATAAACCAACTCCAATTTGCTTTAGGCTGAATCCTGCCCATTTCAAGATACCATGTGCGAGTAAAAAATGCTCAGAGCCACTCTAGTGTTACTTTCTGTGGGTTAGAGCCTTTGGTAACGAGCACCCGCATCTCCCATTTCAAGATATGATATAACCATAAACAGACTTCCATTTCTAATTTTACTTAAAATTTTCTTACTAAAGGCCGGCAGAGAAGCTGATCGGCTCCAAATTTAAATCAAGTTATACGGTAATTATCATATTATTATGATAATTATTATCATTGTGTAGCATCTTAAGGATATCATCATAGCCATCATCATAAATCAAGGTCAATATTAAAGTGATATGGTCTCCTTCCCGTTTAAATATAAGATGATAAACAGATTTCTACTTTTAATGACATCTCACTTATTCTACCCAAACTGAGACAACGGTGGCAAACGAAATTAAGCTAACAAAGCATTCCTCATGTTCTTGCTTACTGGGCAATTAACTGCCATATGCTTTCACACCACAAAACTGTCCCACAAAAGAATAATTTAACAGTGATTAATTACGAGGGAGGGGACTTGAAAATGAATATATTGATAATAAATGAATATATTGATAATAAATGCAGTTATTTCCCCATGCAGAGGTGTAGTTCTAGCTATTCAACTTTTTACTTTCTAAAAGAGCAGGACAAGTTAAAAATACACCATGTGACTTCATGTCACGTGATGTTTCTCCAGCCAGTCAGCACCGAGGGGGAAAAATGCATTAGTAAGTATGCATATAAGTTCATCTCTGCACTTTTATTCAGAAAAAATTTTTACTAAGGTCAAGGTGTCCAGAATTTAGCCCATAGTCGGTTGTTTAAATTATGTCCTTTCATTGCTAGTGTGCTGTTTAGTGTCTGATGGAAGAAGAAGCAAATACCGTTGCCTTATTGCAAAGAGAGTTTGAAATGAGTTGTTAAAGTTATAAGCACTGAAATGATTGGGGCTTCTCGCTAGAGTCAACTGCAAAGGATCTTATGTCTTTTGGCAATCTCTTCATATTCCAAATGTGCTAATGAATCCATAGCATGCTACTAAAACAGTAACAGGGGAGAAAGTAATGTTTAGTTAATTAAAATGTCCCACTTCTATCTGAATATAAAGATGCACACAGAAAACATCCCCTAGAGAGACAAATATGTAGTCAGCATTTTTCCCCCTCCTCCAAACACTGACTCACATGCCCTCCCCAACAGGAAAAGGCAAACACATTTTAACAATTAACATACCATACACGGTCGGCCACCAATAATATTAAATCCAAGAGATCCAGAGTCACGATGAAGGACGAGGGTCAGTGCTTTAGTTTCTTCACCCTACGAAGAACAGGTAAAAACATTCAAAACATTTGTGCAGAGGCAGATATTAAGATGGTTCATACTTCTATCTAAATATTTACTCTGTTCATAAATTCCAGAGGAGACAGTGTCGGGTCGGACTTTCATAGTCCAGGAAGTCTTGGGTTTTCCCTCTTGTTGCGCTTGATAGGCACTCCTTTGAAAAATATGGCCTTTAAGGTTAATGCACAATTTTGGTTCGGGTCTACAGCAAGCACCTAAGGGAATCAAAATATTTCCATATGCCGTGCTGTAATTCTAGCTATCTGACAGGGTTATATTTGGGGTGCCATGCAACAATCGTCCAGGTCACCTACAGTCTTATTCTTGCTGTCTCCCATTCCTGGATGCGATTGGGACTGTATTTTTAGGGTGACTCCTTTTCTTACTAGGTACATTATGTTGTCTTAGGCAGCACCCAATGAGACAGCACTGTTGGGTGCACCCAGTGAGGTAGTACCCAATGAGACAGCACTGTTGGCTGCACCCAATGAGCACCCAATGAGGCAGCACCCAGTGAGATGTGTTATGAAACAGCACTTCTAACGAAGAGAATTTAGCTGAGGAAATTAAACAGAGTTGATACAAATTGTGCAGAAGCACCAAATTCCTAATTATTATTCTGAGTGTGTATTACAAACAGTAATTTTATTGCAATTCTAAGGAATTCAGATTGTATAAAGTCTTAAAACTTCAAGAGAAATCCTCTTTCATTGAGGAGGATTCTCCCAACTCCTAAAATATAAAACCAGACAGTAGCAGGTCTCTGATTAGGCGGGCAGGAAGAATAAATAATGCACGACCTAGACCTGAAGGAGACTCTGTGCAAACATGATCTGTTGTCCTATCCTGTGACCCAAGGTCATTCCCAAACACAGGAGTGTCCTTGGCTGATGTGCCAATATGCTTTTCAAAGGAACGTTGAAGCGTCGTGATACCTCTTCAAATTACACTGAAAACAAAATTAAATACCCAGTCTTCTAATGACAACTTCGAATCTTTTCAGTCTCCTAATTTCTCTCTCAATCCAGTGGCAGTTGATACTAGCTAGCCCTGTCACACAAACAGGACAAACTTAAATGATTTCAGCAATGAGAACATGCAGATATTCAGAGTGATACTGTGTGTTTCTAAAGATAGATGAGCTCCAATGAGAACAAGAACATTGCTATCTGCCGGTCCTTGCTTTGTTTTATCTACAGGGTGAAAAAGTTATGAACACATAAGAATTTGAGGAAGTTATCTTACATGTCTGGTTTTCATAAGAAATTAATGACATAAATTACAACAGTTACATAGTAACTTGATGCAGATGTTTTCAGTTTGTGCATTTTTCTTTTTACGTGTCAGTTTGAAGTTGTCTATCATATGTTATTAATGTCTATTAAATTTTGTAAAATATGTCAAAACACTCCAGCATTACTGAATGACTCTTATGGGGAAAAAAGTGATGGGACCAAGTTCTCTGCTTATGTAAACTGGCAGAACTCCACTGACTTCAATGGAGCTTCACCACCATGCGCCAGATGAAAGTCAGTAGTTCATAGTGCTCCTTAGTGACACGTAATAATTTCCTTTCCTGCAGATCCTATAAAATAAGTAGACTGAGACCTGATTCCCAAACATATTGAGTACTCAGAGCCACTGATTTCACCTGTTTTTGCACCACTCAGAATCAGGCTTGGAGGAAGGAATGAAATACTAGGTGAAAGCCCTTTTCCTGGACAACTTCAAACCCAGACCTCAGATACTATTTCAGTGAGAAAACTTCCAGTCCTGTGAGACCACTTTTAAGGTCTGATAAGTTCAGCATTTGAAAGACAAGTATGCCATTGTCACAAAAGCAGTTTACCTCTCTTTTCTGCTATACAGCTTTATGAAGGCAAGTCAATTAGAACAATCAAGAAGCAATTACTATACCGCTTTCAGGACAGTTGCTGTAATTAAACCTGACTGTTTCCACTACAATCCCTTATTGTGGGAGATCTCATACTTTTAGGACCAAAAAAAAATTATAACAGTTTTCCCAGAGTAGGGGCTCAGCACTCGGGTCAATCATAGAATGGGTCAAAAATGGAGAGAACATTTTATGAAATGTTTTTCAAAATTTTTCATGCAAAATGGCATTGGGAATGTATAAAAAGCTGCAGCCAGCTCTAATGGGTTTTAACATTTTGTCCACAGTCTCTACTGCAGTGGAGTAGTGTAACAGTACAGAGTACAATATGACCCTGCACTGTGATCATTCAAACACATGTATAAAACATCAAGGCGCAAGGGACCTAGGGTACAGCTTTGATACCTTAATACTTTTGCAGGTTCACTTTGCAGTATTAACAATTTTTAAGCATCCTTATATGCCTATTAATGGAGCCACAAAGAAAATTATTCTTACAGAGCTCACTGCCTTTCTTTTTTTCCCCTAAAATGTCTGAACCAATCATTAAAAAGTGAAGTGACTCTGGAGATGTTATGGCCAATATCCCAGGCCTGCCCACATCATCTGGTTCTGCAGCAAACCTGATGGTTCTTGGCATGCTGTATTCCCACAGCTGAGTAAAGCTCTTAAACATAATTCTGGAAATTACTGTACTTCCCAGATGAGTAATGTGGAGCTAATAGACTGCATTTTATTCCATATATTAGAAGCCTTCTAATTTCTGTAGTGACACTGCGGCTAAGAAGTCCGGTCTTAGCCAGAAGAGGCACTTTTCTTCACCTTTACAAAGTAACAGGCTATCAGATTGATCTGGAATGGTAAAGGTGGGGATATAGTCTAAGAAAAATAATCTTAAATTTGCAAAACCTTAGTTCCATTTCAAAAAATGAAAGTTTTGGAAGCAGCTGCTTTCATCACCGGCCCTAAAACTGAAGGTCTGTACAACAGCTCCACAACTGTTGTAAACTGATAGAACATTTTTAACTTGAGGGGACTTGTGCTGGCCTAGCTCATCTGAGGATCTATTTGATGTATTTAAGGAGTTCCTAAATGTCTGTAGCATATTATGCCTATAGCATAAAATACCTGTTACCCCCAAAATTAAAGGACGTAAGACTTCCACTTCTCGTTGTAAGTAGTTTCCAGCTCTGTTGTTACATTTCTGGAGATTGGTCACTTCTGCATTTTAAAACATAATCCTCAACGCTCCCGTTACCATGCCTGGCTTTTCCATCGGGCTCTGCAGGAGCACAGCCTGATGTCTGAAAGGGAGTTCCCGGGGCTAGGACATGGCAACAAAAATGCCTTCCTAATCTCTTCCAAAAGACCTTAATGTAAACTGTGTGCATACATACAATGGCAGAATCTGCCCAACTTCATCAATAGGTTGGAATAATAGTGTGTTTCAGGGAAGATCAAGCAGAATTTAAATAGCCTGAGGTTTTTTCTTTGTTGTACTTGGACTTGGATGACTCCGGCTGATGTATTTCATCAAAGAAAATCCTCTTTGTAGATTGAGACAGACATCTTCAGCACTTCCTCCTCAAACACATTGGCAAGTGCCCTCATTTCTCCCTACCAAAGAACCACCTCAAATGTTTCTCGACAGCAAACACACCCCTAACTTTGCCTTTAAGTAACACGCACACAGAGCGGTGTGGACATACTGAAACTTTTAGAAACAACACAAAATGACAAAAATGACTTCCATTCTAGGGACAAAGAGGGACACAGATAAGTCATGTCCTGTTAATACACATCTACCGATAGCCTCCTATAGTGTCTCGTTACAGGGGAGGCTCGTTTGAGCCTCCTATAGTTATACTACTGTTACAGTGTCTTAGCATCTCAATCTTTAATGTTTTTCTCCTAGCGATACTGCAGTGAGGTGGAGCAGTGTCACTCTCCCTATTTTACAGATGAGGAGGGGAAAGGAGGTACTGGGAAGAAACTCTCACTTGCTGCAGGTCGCTTAGGGAGTTGATGAGAGTGCCAGCACCTGAGTCCAGATCTCAGAAACCATAGGCTAGCATCCTGGCCACTAGACCGCTCCTCTAGAAAGCCTTTCAGCATGAAGAAGCTGCTCAAAGGTTGCACAGAAAATGATGGGATGGGAGAAGAGAGAACCTTACTAACCAGGCTTTTTGCATGGAGCTGTCTGGGGATTATAGGTGCAGAAAAGAATGGCGTTCCCTATTCCCAATGGGTGAATAGATTACAGTCATTTTTCTTCCTGTGCAGGGTTTTGAAGTACTACGTCTACCAAACAGTAGCAGCACTGATCTCTAAACCTCCTTGTAGTCCTAGGCTTTCTGCATTCCAGAGTGAGGGTGCAAAAATCACATCTGGTACAGCTGTTCCATTTGTGACTCCCTAGCCTACCCCCACCACAAGTTGTGTCCATCCGGAACCCCGTTCACTCATCATTTGAACTGAATTGCAAGGAGGCATTTATTCCTATTGTGCTCCTAGGATACACCATTTGTTTTATTTCAAGCCGTTCTACAATTCTGGCAATGAATAACAGTTAACTCTGGGATGCTGAAACAGTTTTTCCCCTTAACCCACGCAGGGAACTCTAGCCTAGGCAAGATAAAGCATGGAATCGCAGAAAACACTTTGTGAACTAAGGATAGTTCTGCTTGTGCAACGAACATTTCAACGTTGACCGAGCAACTACTGCTTACAGCACATTTGATGTACGAATAAAAATGATCGCAAGAAAATATCAGTGACAACAAGGTATAGTTTGACCAGGCATGGTTATTTTTAACCTGAACTCAAACTGAGAAATTAATTATTCCATACTGTAATGCACCTAAACCCAGGTGTTTAGGGACCAGAAAGTGCCTGAGCCAAATATGCATGCCCTGCAGGGTGTTTATAGCCTCCATCCTGTACTGGCATCTTTGTCTGAAAAAATAATCCAGCGCTAAAAAACTTGGAAACAAGCCATGTCCCATATTGGTTCAGTGGCGTTTGCAGTAGGTGATCACCATGTCAACATGGACTTTGAAAAAAAGTTCTCAAGTGCACAAAGACGCGTGTTTCCTGATTGTACTTCTTTTGGAGCGGGGCAGACTGAAAGTGTTAGCTTTGGAAAGCTGCCAGCAGGCTGTGAAAGACGTGTAATTGATTGACCGCTAGACCACAAGTCTGTGGTGACATGACACCTTTTGGCTTTCTGCAGGTTAGGTGCTGCTTCAGAAAACTGCATAACGGCCTTTTTGTAGCAAGGCTGAAAATGGACACAGTCATGTTGGCCAGCTGCATCCATAAATTCGATAAAGGTATCGCTGGAAACGATGTCGTGCAGACATTGGCAACGATTTGCCATAATACCTTTCACACGAATCACATCCCGCAACGCTGACCTGTTAAATTGTTTAGCTCTGCAAAGTTATCAACAGCAGACTGAGAAAAATTAAGACCCATCAATATGGGAGCGACGGGGCATGCGTGGTTGGGGAGCAGGGCTGAGATGAAGCTAATAAGGTAGAAAGATACGGAAAGGCTGTTCCAGGTGGCAAAGAGAAGACTTTTTCTCAAAGAAACTGAGAAGAGGACAGAGATGCCCCTATGCTAAGTGAACGTGGGGAGCAGGGAAGGGTAGAGGATGAGAAAGATAAATGAGGTTTCTGAGTTGAGGTGGAGTAAATTGAAAGGGGGGTTAAAAAAACAAACCCAAGACAGTTGTTACCAACAGGTCCCCAAATGGATGCAAAGTCTCCAATTTCTTAATCTGGGCATTAGCCCGACAGCGTCTTCAATGCCATCGCCAGAGATTAGAGCAGTATTCCATGCCGAGATATCGTTATTGTTATCATTTGACAAACATTGCTGTTTTTCTTTGCCTAATGGGGTTGGAGAATATAAATGAAGGTTTCTTTCCTTTATCTTGCTGGCTTGTTTGAGCAGCAGCGTTAACAAAGAGCCAGGACAGCTCTTCACTTTTCTTGATGATTGCTGCTGTATCTGTGGGGAGAGGGGCCCATTCCTGGGCAGAGCGGCACCATCTGAGCGCCTTCATCCTGAAAGTATCTGGTCCGGTGCTCCCTTCATACAGAAAACACGTTTTGAGAAGCAGTTTGGGGTTAACTGGTCGCACGGTGCTGCCTTATGCAGACCCTAACTCTAACCACTCCAGAAAGTTTGAACTCGAGATAGACTGACTCCACTTAAATCCACCTTTTGGAAACCCTGTTGCAGACGGCTCTGAAAAATGAGACTGGTGGGTAGGTCTCACGTTTGGGCATACGTGCGGCAGAAAGTCCGTGCTCAGCCGTTCCACGTCATGAAGACCTCATTAGGAGGAAGCTCCTGATAGCGCGTAGCTTGTTTGAGGGGCTCCGAGTTGTGTAAGGTACTAATCCAAGTGACCTCATGCTGCAGAAAGCCATGGTTTGGAGAGCCTGCTCTGGATGATTTAGGGACGTGGAATGCCGGATTTGGAAAGTACCGGGTCATCAAAAACAAAAAAGCGTCTGGTGAGCCGTTCGGGTTCACCTAACTCCTAGCAAGTTGGTGATTCAATGCCATTTTGAATCCTGAAAAATGCTTTTGTGCTGCTTGAGGGGACAAGGAGTGGGGGGAAAGTATTGTGACCTGCATATCTGACTTCAAATTCCCAAGGAGGGTCCCCTTAGAAATACAGGCATAGAAACAGAGAATATAGCCGCTGAATTCTGGTCTTTAAGCATCAGATTTAAAATGTATTTTTTGTTTGTTTGTTTTTTTAAATCAGGCTCACTTCTCAAGGAGAAGTTAACATCCCAGATAGGCTTGAGCTCCCTGCAGTACAGCTCCCTCGAAGCCCAACCGACAGCACCCTGCGTTACGAATAAGCACATCCAGTTTGCAGTGACAAGCATGAGATCCCAGACACCAAGAGGGAAAAACAATGAACCAGCCTCAGAAGGCATGCGAGCTAGACAGTGGGGGAAATCGTCCAAGAAGTCCAACTCGCATGTGTATGCCAGGAGTTTGAAGCATTAAAACAAGGTAAGGAAAAAAAATAATGAAGAGAAACATGGACATTTCACCCCCTGGAT